TGGGCATCCCCCTTTATAAAAGCCTCAAAACACGGAATGTTCAATCTCTTGATCAAACTCTTAATATAGGAGGAACTCAGGTTTAAAAAGGTGATGAATGGCCACCCCAGAGAATTATAAATACTTATTATGGCCCAGCCATGTGGCACAAGATGAAAGTTGGGAATACCACACGCCTATATATGTGCTAAATCACATTATCAGGTTACAAGCTGTCTTAAAAGTTATAACTAAACAAATAGCTGGCTTTTGAGCTTGCTGCTCAACAACAAGCCCAAATGTGCAACGCCATTTATGAGAACCACCTAGCTTTGGACTGCCTGCTAGCAGAAAAAGGAGGAGTGTGTGGTAAATTTAATAGTTCTGACTGTTATTTACAAATAGATAATAATAGTAAAACTATGACTAATATAGCCACCAATATTAAAAAGCTTGCCCATGTCCGAGTACAAAAATGGCAAGACAAAATTGGCAATTAGTTTAAAAACATGTTCTCGGGTATAGGAAGATTTAAATACATTATTAAATCTGTAATCTGCCGGGCTTGGTGGCTCAGCCTGTAATCTCGTGCCTTTGGGAGGCTGAGGTGAGTGGATTGCCTGAGCCCGCAGGTTCGAGACCCGCCTGGCCAATTTGGCGAGACCTCATCTCTACAATAAATCAAAAAATTAGCCGGGCATGGTAGTGCACGCCTGTAGTTCCAGCTACTTGGAAGGCTGAGGCGGAAGGATCGCCGGAGCCCAACAGGACGAGGCTGCAGTGGCCGGGAGCGGCCACTACACTCCAGTCTGGGTGACAGAGTGAGACTCCAACTCAAAAAAAAAAAAAAAGAAACATCAATTTGCCAGGCTCAGTGGCTCAGCCTGTAATCCCGCACCTTTGGGAGGCTGAGGTGAGTGGATTGCCTGAGCCTGCGGGTTCGAGACCCGTCTGGGCAGGCGAGACCTCATTTCTACAATAAAATCAAAAAATTAGCCGGGCGTAGTAGCGCGCGCCTCTAATTCCGGCTACTTGGAAGGCTGAGGCGGAAGGATCGCCAGAGCCCAGCAGGTCGAGGCTGCGGTGGCTGGGAGCAGCCACTGCACTCCAGTCTGGGCGACAGAGTGAGACTCCAACTCAAAAAAAAAAAAAAATCTGTAATCCTATTGTTGGGATCCTGTCTTACCCTCCCTTGCATAGCCCCAATAATTATAAACTCCATTTCTAAGTTTGTGGAATCTGTTGCTGAATGAAAAACCATGGCCCACATTATGTTAATGCACCAAATTAAAGATGATGCTCTTAACCCATAAAGGGTCAAGCATCAAAGGGGGAATGTGGCAGAGAGGGGCTAAAAACAGTTACAATTATTCCTTTTAAAAATCAACTTGCAAGCTCCAGACCTGCTAGACATGGGATGCAAAAAACCAACTAGCCAAAGGTCGCTTTCCTGGAAATGCAAGATAGTAATCCATTCACAACATTACCCCCACATCCTCTCTTTATGAAGCTATTGGTTTACAAACCCTGCTTGTTATGTATACCCTGGAGACAATTTGTTCTTTAAAAATCTGGTTTTGCTAAGTACAACCTTACAGATTCCAAAAGAAAATGTATAACCATACAACCCGACGCCCCTCCCTTACCTAAACTAAGGTATAAAACCTCTCTCCTCTTTCTCCAAATGCTCAGCCTTGGAGCATACCTAAGATAGCCTTGGTGTCATGATCGCTCTGTTTTTCCACAACAATCTTAGGCTCTGACTATTTTGGTATAAGAAGTATCATGTCATTGCTTTAGAAAATACATCAGCTGGGCCCAATGACTCAGCCTGTAATTCCACGCCTTTGGGAGGCTGAGGTGGGTGGATTGCCTGAGGCTGCAGGTTCGAGACCTGCCTGGGCAACTTGGTGAAACCTCATCTCTACAATAAATCAAAATGAGCTGGGCGTGGTAGTGCGCGCCTGTAGTTCCAGCGACTTGGAAGC